TTTCAGTTAATACTCTTGCTGTAGAGCTTCTCTGGGGACACTGGAGAAGGAAGAAGGGGCTGTGAATGGAGTTAGCAGAAGGTATTTCCCAAAGCGCATCGGGTAAATTCAGTTTCCCAAAGGAAACAACACTGAGAAGTGTGGGTAAAATTACTTAGAAGTAAATCAACCTTAGTTTGGTACAGCTGGCGTGACGTTCAGGTCCCACCTTTGACTCAGCCTCCAGTTACAGCTCTCAGTAAGCTGCAGCTATTTGCTTTTTTTTTTTTTGCTATTTGCTTTGGACAAGCTGTTACACGACGGCACTGCGGTGTGCCAGCTCCGGGGGAAACTAGGTGGAAGTAGACTCTCCTCCTGAGTTTATCATCTGCGCCGCTGGCTTTGCATTTTAGGGGAGCTGGGGCCCTCTGGTACAAACAGCTGTGTTACAGAAGTGTTGTGCCAAAGGGACCCGTCAGTCTGGTGTTTGTAGAGTAATCTCAGTCCAAGGATGGCAGGCAGGCATCCATGCAGAGGGGATTTTCCTGCTTGCCGTTGCACGATGGAAAGTAGCCATGGCTGTGGGGTTCAGGCCCGGGCGGCATGGAGGACTCCAGCCACCAGCGGAAGCCTGAGCCACCTGGCAGGGAGAGCGTGCCCAGCTCACCGCCGCTGTCGGCAGTCGCAGGGAACCAGGACTTCACTTTGCAGCTGAGCGAAGCCGCTGAACGCGTGACTGCTGCTGAAGTGTTTAAAGTTTTGCTACAGTGACCCTACAAGTACATCCGCTACCACACATTTGTCTGTTAATTAGTGTCTTGCTTAGTGAGCGGTGGCTCTGCTGTAGGAAAGGGCCTTTTTAAGATCTTGGAAGACTTAGAAACTGTGGTTTTGGTGCTAGGCAGGGGTGATGGAGGGTGGTGAGCAATTTCCTTGGCCCATACTTGCCTTGGTACCCAGGTGGTCGTCTCTGGTGTTGGCAGCATTCTGGGGTCTTAACAGGACCTGGCAGTTAATTTGCAATACAACTTAATTTCTTTTCCAGTGGCTTTGGCTGAGGGTCTACATCCTCCCAGGGACACGTGGGTCTTTTGTCTGCCCCACTACTCCTTTTAATGTGCTTTGTTGGAGGTAGAAATGGCTCCTGTCCCCTCCTCGTGATGGATTTCGTTTGTTAGTGTCGCCCAATGTGAGCACAAAAAAAAAGGCTAAGGGGGTTGTGGGCTGTGCATGGCCGAGCCCCGCGGTCCTTCTCCCAGCCTTTCCTGTGGGTGATGGTCTTTGCTGGCAGAGCCACATATGGGCCCAACTACCTGTCAAAGCTGAGCCCAGGGGATGCAATCTGCCAGCCCTTTGTTTTTCCATAGGGTCAGTGCTATATCTTTATGTGCAGGAGCAGCAGCGATGCTCTGGCTGTGGCAGTTTCCCCTGGCGCTGGCTGCCGCCCCAGAGACGGACCCCGCTGTCCATCCAGCAAGTGGGTTGTGTCCCGAATTTGGGGCCACACCAGGCTCTGGCTCCCTAAAGTGGCGTCCTGCCAGCAGGGATGGGGTAGGAGCAAGGGCCCTGGATGCAGCGTTCGCATCGGATAAGAGGTCCCGGGGTCCCAAAAACGGGGTGACATCTAGCCCTGGCCAGTCGGGGTTGTTGCAGCTTAACTGTGCTGGTGCACAGGCAGATGCGTTTGGTGCCCTGTTAACCACCTGGGGTTTCTTCTCTCCATTAACTCCAGATCGCATTGCTGTAGCCTAAATAAAAAAAATCATGTAGAAGGTTGCACTATGGGGCAGAAAGTCCAGGGTTATCATGCCGGGTCTGGAGGCTGCCAAGGGCTGTGTTTGGGAACAGCCTCTCCTCCTGCCTCGTCCTGGGTGGCTCTTTTATCACTCATGGCCTCGGGGGCAGGAGACATCCCTCAGGGCTGTAACTCTGTAACTCCTCATTGCTTTGATAAGGAGGGATGGCTACAGCTCAGGGTCGCTTCAGGGAAGCCACAGAGAGCCTGAAATCCTGTGCATTAAAGGGTGGATTAAACTCATGGTCATTAGATTAATGGGATTAAGCCCGTGAGTCAAGAGGCTGTTTTGCACAGAGCTCAGCACTGCCAGGAGCACCCGCCTGCCCAGCTCAGGCAGCACGAGTGGTGGCTAAGGAGCCCCTTGCTACCTGGAGTAACTGCAGAGCAATGCTTGCAACCCCTCTCTGCACCTGCCCATAGCAATGGGGATTTTGGTGCTTGCATAAGAGCTGTGCAGCGCAGTAGGGGTGAGCTCCAGCTCCTCACGCAAGGGGACTGGGATCTGCATGGAGCTGCTGAGCAGGGACCGGCATCTTCCGCCCTGCTCAGGAAGGACTGCCCAAACCCTGCTCCCCTTTGGCTTGTGGCTGGGGAGCCCTTCACCAGAAGCATGGAGCTTGCATGGAGCAGATTGGGCTCTGGGGCTGACAGCTGGTGCAGCTGGGAAGGGGATGGCAAATGTAAAAATTGAAGGTAAAGGCTGCCTTGAAGAAACCCCCCAGGAGCAGGGCTGTGCTGCAGGGATGATGCGCTCTAGAGCATCCCTGGTGTTGGGGGCCAGGGGACCAGGCAGCTCTGCAGGTCCTTCATGCAAAATACATGCCCATTCCTCCTCAGTGGGACGGGACTGGCAGTGCTGCTTGTGCTTTGGAGGTGGCTGGGCAGGAAAGAAGAGGCTGGAGGGGCTTAGGTGGCTGTCTGGAAGCAGTCAGCACCCTGTGCTGGTGTGTGGACCCCCATGGTAGTGCATTCTCCCCATGCCAGTGCATAACCCCTGTGCCCCCCATGTTGCTATGTGCACCCCATGCCCGTGTGTGCACCCCCATGCTCGTGCATGCCCCCCACACTGGTGTGTCTCCCTGGCACGCACGAGGGGCGTGGAGGAGCGGCATCCCCGGCAGCAGGAGTCATCCATCGTGGAGCAGTGGAGAGCCGTCCACCCGTATCGGGGGCGTGGGAAAACTGCAGACTCCATGATGCAGAGCTGTGGATCCCTGCTGTATTTCCAGACTTCACAACTGTGTCTTGGTGTATTTTTGGTTTGCAGCACCAGGCCTGGCTCCAGCAGCCCCACTGAGCAGCAGCCGGTCCCTTGGATGGCCAGCCCTCCTCGGGGCGGCAGCAGGACCTTCTGCTGCAGCTCCAGCCTCTGTGGCTGCCAGGCTCTGCCCTGGGAGCAGCTCTGCCCTGCCGGCGAGTGCATTCCCTGCAAACCTGTGGCAATGTGCAGACCATATGAATAAATATTAAAAAATGTAGGTGGATGTGATAATATTTATGCCCTAGCAGGTCTCCATGCTGATTGCATAAGACATCATGTATTATTTCCATCCCCACGTCCTTTGCTTCCCCAAGCAGGAGAGCTGCCAGCAGTGCTGACGACGTATGGGCAGCGACAAAAAACCTGTCATTGAAAAAAGGTATTTTCTGCTCACTGCGCCTGGCAGCCAGTGTGGCTCTGAGCAAAGAGCTGCTCGGCAGGGTGAGCTGAAATGCCTTTATGGAGCAGAGGGAGGGGGACACTCTCTGGTCCAGTGACTCAGCCCTGCAGGCTGGTGAGTCAGCGCCCACTGCCTGCCCCGTTTTGGAGGCAGGTTGCCAACGGGGAGCGTGGCTCGGCTGGCAGCCCCAACCTGTCCCGCTTTCCTGCCAGGCATCATCTGCAGACCATTTCAGGAGCCTGCGAGGTTTCCTGCACAAGCTCTGGCCCGGTGCTCCCGGGGGAATCCATGCAGGCTGCATCGAGTTCTCCAGTTAGATCAGATGAACTCTCTGCAGGAACTGCATATCTTGCAAAAAAACCCCCTCCTGTAGCTCAGGAGTTCAGCCCGTGGCCAGATGCATGTGCCTGCCTGGTCTGACATCTTGCTGCAGTCTGGAAAACCAGAGCCTGCCTCCAAATGCAGGATCCTGTAGCTTTTTTTAGAGAGGACTCATACTTTGGGAGGGCTCAAATGTGCTGTCCTCGGCTAAGATGTGCTGTCCTCAGGAAAAGTCTTGCAAAAATTGATTGCAAAATTGTTCATTTCTGGTGACAAATGCTATTTCAGCTGCTGTTGGAAGAGAGCAGAACTGGTGTCAGTTGGGTCCCACTCCAAGAGGAAAAGCCTGGACCTCTTCTGGTGGCAGGATCAGGACTTGTCACATGCAATGGCAAAGAATATTTGCATTTTCCAGTTTCTTTGTGTCTCCGAGTGGCTAAAAGAAAATCGCAGGCAAACTGTAATGTAAGAAGCAACTTAATTTATTGCATTTCTTCTTGAAGTAACATCTGCTGTACCCCAGCTGCAATAAAAATATAAGCAGAATAAACCCTTGTTACACTGACTGCTGGCAGCAGCTGCCCGGGTGATGCTAGGCTGTGTGAAGGTGGAACCAGGTATGGTGTTACTTGTGCAGAAACCACTGCTGGCTTCTCCTGCAGTGCCGTCGGCTCCAGCTGAGTGATGCAGGGCAGACCCAGGCAGGCGCCTGGTAAGGTACATTTACCTTGCAGTTACGCCCCAATTATGTTCTCAAGGATTTGAGCTTGGAAATAATTTTCTTATCTGAGTGTATCTTAAGTTGAGGCTCTGAAATCTTAAAGCCCTTTGGATGGGAAGCCGTCTTCTGCTTTCAGCAGTGATTTAACAAACACTTTGAGGTTTGGGTTTCGCATGGGCTCACTGGTGATGCCTGTTTACTGCTGCATTTTGCACATGAAATGGTGAATTTGCACCTCTTCAGATTGTTTATAAATTATGATGCCAGCTTTTTCTGGTGATGGTTGTACATGGAAACTTTGTGCCTATGAGCCAAATGCTGCCAGATCTGCAAGCATTGCTCAAATGTATCATTGTGCTCATGGCTTTACTAGAAACCTCCTCCAAGGCACAAGAATTTGCAGCTGTGGCTCAGTGCATATAGGAATAGGCATTATTAGGATCCTGAATTTGGCACCAACATTGCTTTAAAGCAAGCAGCGAACCAGGTAGCAAGGTGTTGGCCAGATCTGCGGTCCGGGATGGGTGACCATCCCACCATCGGAGGTATGCGGAGGTTGGCTGCATCCCTTGCAGCTGGTCCACTGTCTTCGTAACATTTAATATCCATGCCAGTGTCACCCATAACCACACCGGTGCCTTCTCCAAAACCAAAGGAGCTTCATGCGTAGCACACGGTGCATGTGTCCGGCGTGGCAGGGACGGTGCCAGTGCCCCTTGCCGTCATCAGCCAGCTCGCAGGACTGCAAGGGCTTGGCTGGTGCTTGCTGTGTTCCTGCTTCGGCTATTTCAGGCATTTCCATTTCTACAGCACCAAAAGGACCGCGTGGCCCCTGGCTATCAGGAGCAGCAGCTATGAGCAGAGGGATGCTGCCGAAAGGCGCCTGGATGAGTGATTTGGGAGGACAGGCAGAATTTGAGGGGGAGCAGTATTTTTTAAGCGGAAATGTCATGCTTTTTCTTTTTTGCCTTTTTTTTTTCCTTCTCTTGAACAGAAGTTGGCGTCTTGGCAAAGCAGTACCTTGAGCGAGGCCTTCTGGTGCCGGACCACGTCATCACGCGCATGATGATGACAGAGCTGGAGAAGCGGCGAGAGCAGCACTGGCTGCTTGATGGTGAGTGTGCTGCCAGTGTCCCTTCTGGATGGGAAAATCCCAGCCCCCTTTAAAACATTATTTTGCTGCTAATGGTTTGGCAGCACCAGGAGAGAGAAAAAACAGAAGGTGCCTTTCCCGGTCCTGCTGGCCATGGGAGGGGAGGCAGGAGCCGACCTGCTGGCAGAGACATCTGCCCACAGGTGTTCCTTCCCTCTGCCCTGAGTGTGTCCAGCTGAGCCCTTGGCACACATTGGGGAAAGGGAAAGGCAGGGGAAGGAGATGGGTGTTTCATAAAGTGGACCCAGTGAGCAGAACAGGGCTGGAGGCAGGCTAAGAAAGCTCGTCATCCTGCTTCCGTACGTGTGCGAAGGAGCTACTCATCCCAAGCCTGAAAGCCACCTGAGGTGCGGGTGGAGAAGACACTGAGAGCAAACTGGCAAGGCACGCGGTGAGAGGAGCAGCAGAGGGTTCACCAGGAGCTCCTGCAGCCCTCAGCAGTGAAGCTGCACACCAGCAGCCGTGGTGCATCACTGCTGGTAGCCTGGGAGCTGGCAAGTGCTGATGGCAGCTCTAGAAATCGCTTTGGGCTTTGTTAGGGGATGGGACAGGGCTCAGCAGGTCACACTTACCTGCGGCGTTGGGCACAGGTGAGTGTAACATATGGGGATGAGCGGCCGTGGCTGTTGTAGGGGGAGAAACCCTCCCTTGCCAATCTGCTGAAGCTCTTTGAAAGAGTCAGTGAATGCGTAGATAACACTGAGCCAGTTGATTTATAACAGACTTGGGCTTTCGGAGAGCTCTCAGGCTCCTGATAGGGAAAATACAAAATAATTTACAACTAAAATAAGTCTGCATTTTAGTGCCATGGACTGGAGGGCTGGTGGAGCGAGGCTTCTTCCCCATGTGGCCCTGGGTGGCCCCAGAGGAGGGGTGGCTTGTGCTGGGGCTTGGGGTCCAGCCGAGCTCTTCTCACCCCAGCGGGCACTGGGATCTGGCAGCGTTGGCACCAGGGGTCTGTCAGTGTTGCCCCACTGGGCTTGCAGGGAGGATGTCAGAGACCTCAAGCCCCGTAGGTTCATGTTGCCTTGAAGATGCCTGTGAATCCCCACTATTAAAATTTCATTATTCTTACCATAATGCCACTTAATTCATCTGGGAACATGGTGAGTAACATATTACAGCAACAAGCACTGCCTAAACAAGTACATATTTTGTTGAATTAAAACTCTGGCATTTCAACACATTCATGGGGGTTTGCATTGACACACTCAGATCCGGGTTCTTGCAGCTCGGGATGTTGATTTATCGTGGTATGACCCCCAGCAGCCTGGCCCGGGGACCAGCTCCCATTTCATCACAGCTTTGCATCCAGAGGTCCCACTGAGGGTGCCGCAAGGGTGAAGTAATTCCAGCCATGGGCTGGTAACGAGGATTTTGGGAACCGCCTGCTTTGTGTGCTGACCTCCGCTTTATACCAAGACATTTGAGGGAGGGGCTGCCCCTGAAGCTAAAATCTGAATGCAGGCAGCAGTGATGCTGGCAGCCCTGCACTGTCACGTTCTTCCTCCTAATTTTGGGGGAATTCATCTGCCTGCGGGCACAAGCAGTGGCTGCAGTCAGAGCCCCACTCCAGCAGTACTGTGACAAGGAGCGTATTTATTTCAAGTGGTCTGTTTGATAACTTAAATAACAGACCGACTTTACTTGGTAAGACAGACTAAATGTATTCTTTCTCATAATGTCCAATTCATTCCCTGTGCTGATGTCCTGACAAGCTCTTAGCTAATAATAGTCTGCTTGGGAAAAGGCTGGGAGGTCTTAGAGGGTTTTACGGATGTAAAAAAAGGCTAAAAAAATGAAAAAAGGGTGTTGTCAGCAGAGAAAACTGGAGAGGGGACCAGCTCAGAGTCACCCTGGTTGTGGTCTGGTGGCAAGAGCGGATGCTCCCACCCGCTCTCTGACTTTTCTAAACAAAAGGTACCACCTGGTACCTTCGGAGGACGGGGGTTTGAGAGAGCTGGGTGATGGCTCTACAAACCATTTTATCGCAGTATCCTTGATGTCCTCTTTGTAAACCAGGGGTGTGTTAACTCATCTGTGCACAACATTTTGTTTCCTCCAAGTTCTTCTTTTTAATTCCAGCCTTTATCCCTGGTTTGTTGTTGCCTGTGCCTTCTTACTTGCCTCCAGCTCCTGTGCAGGGACGCCAGCCCTGCACCAGACAACGACTTTGCACGAAAACATGAGCCCACAGCGACCCATGTGCTATATTTTGGGAGTCGGTGCTGTAGGAGCTATTTTTTATTATAGCCATATGGTGGATGCCTGTCTTTCACACCGCTTGTGCTATAGCGAGGAGCCGCGGTGGTTTTGCAGCTCCAGGCCTGTGGGGTGGGTGCTTTTGGCTCCATCATTGCTGCTTTCCTGTCTCTCATGACAGCCCCTTTCTGTTGCGGTGCCTGCACAGGTTTCCCTCGGACACTGGGGCAAGCTGAGGCGCTGGACAGAATCTGCGAGCTGGACCTGGTGATCAGCTTGAACATACCCTTTGAGACGCTGAAGGATCGCCTGAGTGCCCGCTGGGTCCACCCTGCCAGTGGGAGGGTGTACAACATGGACTTCAACCCCCCCCATGTCCGGGTAAGAGCCCGTAGCATTGCAGTGGTGGTGGCTGGGAGCAGTTCACAGAAGGAAAAGATCAGAGAAGCCTTTCTCTGCGTGAGCTGAGATCGTAAAAAAGCATTGGGGAAGAAATCCCAGGTAGTAAGCACTGAGCACTGGAGGGCTTTGCCCTCAGGAGTCAGCCTGAAGGAGTTGTGCTAAATGTTAATTAGGGAAATGGGATTTATGTTAAATGCCGTCTGAGGATGCTCAGTCAATGCAGAGCAGGACGAGACATTTGGCAGCAGCTGCATGGCAGGGAGCTGCAGCGTGGGCGATGGGACCGGTGGCTGCATCCCCTTGATGGTGTTTGCCTTCCTGCAGGGCGTCGATGACCTGACAGGTGAGCCGCTGGTCCAGCGTGAGGACGACAAACCTGAGGCTGTTGCTGCCAGGCTCAGAAAATACAAAGATGCTGCAAAGCCAGTAATAGAGTTGTACAAGTGAGTTGGATCATGCAAGAAAATCACAGCGTGCCTGTAAAAACAGGCACAACTGCTGTTTCCACCAGCCAGTCCCATGCCCCCATCCCAAGAGCCCAAGGAGCCCCGGCACAGCCCCCGACAGATTTTGGGGGGCAGATCACTGTGCTTAGCAGCACAAACCCCAGCCATTCATTGCAGCCAAGCCCTGGCTCTGTTTGGAGGGAGGAGGCTGATGTGATGAAATTTACAGCTCCTGTTTGTCTTGCTGGGCTCCACAAAGGGCTTTGCTGGTGCTGGTGATGGGAGTGATTTTTTGTCTGCGGCAGAAGGCACTCGCAAATCCCTTCTGCCCCCCAGCTCCACTGTGCAAGGTGGGAAGCCTGTTTGCGTTGCAGAGGTGCTGCCCATCAGCGCTACGAAACCTAACCAGTTAAGAGTTTTAGCTTCCTTCTGTGTGAGCGTTGTTCAGCACAAGAGATGGAGAAGCTCTGAGATGCCTCAGACCCTGCCCTGCCCATGCAGAGCCGTCGCTCAGTGAGCTGAGGGTCTGCGGGCAAGTGGGGATGGTGATGTTGCAGAGAACAGGCACCCACGAGCTGCTTTCTACCCTGCTTCAAATCAACCCATTCGCCCTGTGCTGTGCAGATCCAGGGCGGTATGTGCTGTGCAGTCATCCTGCAAAAAATTAGTCCAGGGCCCCGAGGCATTTAGGTAAAGTACAGGGCAACTGGCGAGAGGGCAGGAGAAGGGTGAGACCCCAGGGCTAGCTCGGATGGGTTTGCTGTGAGCACAGACACGTTTCAGGGCTTGTCCCTTCTGTGCTGCTGGTAGTTTGGGGCAGTCATCCCCTGGCCGAGTTGGGAATAGATGGATTTCCGTAGGGTGGCAATCCACTACTGAAAGGGAGCGAGCGTCTGGGAGTGTTTTTAAAAGCAGAAGTGGTCCATGGGGGGCCAAAAGCGGCATTGCAGGGGAGGGGGGAGAACTGGGGCCCTGAATTTCCCACTCGCTTAAGCACATGAATAAATCCTGCTGATTTACATCTATAAAGCACTTCAGAGAACGAGTGGTCTTTAGGGGGACGAGGGTGAGCTCTCCTCCTGGGTAATGTGATTATTCGTGGTTATCTGGGTTTGGTTGATCCATGTGTGAGTGCAGCTGGGCTCCTCCCAGCAAATGCTGCAGACGGGAGCAGCTGCCGCTCATCCCTTTTATCCCCCTCCTCTTGCCCAAAAAGCTGAGCTTCCAGCCTGGCCGGACTGTCCCCTGCCAATGGCCAACATGACTGCAAATACCCCTGTCCTCGGGACTGCAAATACCCTTGGTACTGACTTCTCCTTCCATCTCTCTTCCAGGAGCAGGGGCATCCTTCACTCCTTCTCGGGAACAGAGACCAACAAGATCTGGCCGTACGTGTACACCCTGCTTTCCAGCAGGATCCCACCCATTCTCTCGGATGAGGAGAACTAAACAGCTTGTATCAAGGACCAAGAGTGAATGCCATCACGAATTTGGTTTCTCTGCGTGGTGCTGGGGCTGTGCTCACATTAGGCGATTGTGCGGTATCTAAAGTCCCTTCCCCGGGTGTACTGGGTGACATCGGTGGATACACAGTTATAGCCAGTATTGGGGTGAAATGATCTTTGATTATAAGGTCAAGTCTGCTAGAATAAGGGGTTTTTCCTCTTCTGAGGCTATAAAGTATTCCTGCCTATGGTCCAAGTACACACACAGATCAGTGATGCAAACCTGGGTAATGATCACGCCAGGTTTACACAGCTTGCCATGATGTCCCTGCCACCCCCATACAAATGCCAGTCTCTGAGCCTACAATGTGCCATCCCATTGCTCCACAGTACCGTTCACTGAAGATTACTCTCTAGGTTGAGGGGTTTTTTTTCTATAAATTATTTTCTATTAAATTTATTTCTCAGAGAAATAAAGCTCTAAAAAGCAAGACTTAGCCCAGTGGGAATTGGTGAGCAACATGGAAAATATGTACACTATGAAGCTCAGAAACGTGAAGATGACATTTCCAGCATTAATACACATAAAAGAGGGAAAACATTGGTAGTAAAACACGCACTTGTGCTTCGTCCATAGAGAGACATGAAACCCCTGTTATAAAAAGCTGCTGTACACTCTAGTTTTCATGAGAGGCTGTGACACCGCGCAGGATCTGTGCTGGGGATGAGCTGCATTCCTTTGTGCTTACCTTGTTTATAGCTTTTAATACTACAAGATACAGTCATGTTATAAGAGTTTCTCCCAAAGATTCATTTTAATGTGTGCTTCAGTTCTGGGGAGAAATCAAGTCATGCCATCTTCTGTGCTGCCTTTGTCCCTGAGGTCCCCTGGAGATGAGGTGTTCCCTAAGTGGTCCCCGCTGCGGCTGCAGCATCTCTGGCAGAAGCGGCTCCCTCCCCACAAACCCCCAGAGGGGTGAGAGCCTTCCCTTCCTGGGACGCGTGCAGGGGCTGCTGAGGGCCATGCCCACGTGTTTCCCCAAGATTTACAGCATCATCTGAGCGTGTCGCTCCTCTTCTCGCGCTCAGGAGCTTTGTGGCCAGGTGGAGTGGCTTTTCTCAACTGGAAGTACTGTAACCCTCTTTGGTGGTAGGATGCAGTACCTGAGCAATGGGGATGTTGTTTTTGTCTCCTCGAGTTGCCTTATTTTATAGAATATATATTTAAGAAAAAAGCAAGATGTGTATTTTTAAAGGTTTAAAAAAAAAAAAGTGCTGAATTTTAGCATTGACTTTTGGGAACTCTGCACGAAGTTGTTTGTGTTTGCAGAGCGTGCTGCGGTCTGCCATGGGTGGCTCAGCAGGGAGGCAGAAAAGCTGTCACTCCCCTACACCCATTTGATTAATTAGAGCAGCCTGGGCAAGTTTCTGTTGCTGAAATGTCACTGGTTTTATTTTTGCTTGGAGAGTGGCCCTGCGGCAGGGGAGGGGGAGCTGACTGGCTTTTTTAGGGTTGCACAGACTCTGTGTGCAAAACTTCAGCACATCCGAGGAGTCTTTTATCCCTGCTGAGCCTCCCCCATCCTCATGCTATGAGAGGAGCCCCTGATGTTTGCTCTCCCCGACAGAGGCAGCTTTGCCTTGGTGCTCTCCTGATAACGGAGCCAGAAGCTGTCGGGCATCTGCCGAGCGGGATCTCTGCCCACGTGCTGCCTGCTCGTTGCCTGCCTGCCGGTGAAAGTGATGATGCCACAGCGGCAGAGGAGGGCTCCGCATCCCGCTCTGGATAGGAGTTTCCCAGGTTGGAGTGGAGGGACCATAGGGTTTCACTGCTGTTCCTGGGGGCCTTTCCATCCCCCCAGAGCTCCCGGGCTGGGAGGATGCAAATCTTCCACCCTGCAATGAAATCCGATTTAAGAAAGATTTTAGATTTTCCCATGACCCTCGGAAGAAGGTCTGGGCCAGTTTTAAACACAAGTCTAGAAATAGCCAAAATGTGTGTGCTGTTTTCTTTGTAACAGTGTTGGGCAGGAGGGGAGGAGATGATGGGGGGGCGGGTTTTAGGCTACAAAAGCAGCCTGGCCACAGCGGGCGGCTCTGCTGGGGCTGAGTGCCGGGCAGGGGGGCTGCTCCCTACCTTCCCTTGCCTAGCTCTTGCGTCTCATCCTTTCCTGCTGCAAAATGCCTCCTGTAGAGAGGCTTGCCCCACGCAGCGCCCAGTGGCAGGACAGGGCTTGCAGATGTCTTTGCCCCAGGAGAGCCACCTGAGCGCTTGTTTTAAAGGCTTTGAGCCCTGTAGTAGATGTAGAAATCCATGACTCGGCATGAGCCCTTGGGATAGACTTTTCTACAAGAGTTGTCGTACAATGCATTTTCATAGACCAAATACTGGCAGGGATGAGATCCCGGAGCGATATGTATCCCTCGCCTTTCCTCCCCGCTGCGCTCCCCTTTGGTACTTTACTGTGAATCTCACACCTTTTCTAAAGCGACGGCAATTTTGTACCGACCCAAGATACTGTGTGGTGGGAGGAGGGCCCCCCATGCGCGGGGCACCGCTGGCACGTCACGCCGAGTTTTCTTCCTGGAGTTTCTTCCTGGTGAATCGCTGCAGCTGTGTTACTACTCGAAAGATGTAAATAAAATTTTTCTCCTGCTTATCCCTGTGCTGGCAGTGTCTGTGTGTGTTATACGCAATCTCCGCTGAAAGCCAGGCTCTGCGCAAGCCCTTGCCCTGCGCCGAGGCTGTGGGACATGCCTGCAGGTAGCGGGTCATTTTTGACCTGGGGTTTCTTTGTAGGAGCTGATGAGGAAGAGGAGGAGGGGGGGAGAAGATGAGTCCGAGTATCCCCACTTGAACACAGGAGAAAACACCTCAGTAACACCTCAGGTCCCCCAGGTTTTGGGCTTGAGCATAATACTGCTGTTTGGGTCCTGTCTTACAGCCAACTCCTTTATTTGATATAATCCAAAATATTGGTTAAAAAGCCAGTTTTGACAGTGTGGATGAAGGTGGTTGCTCCTGCCCTCCCATCCTTGTTGCATGTGGGTTTTATTTGCCCATTTAACTTCCCCCAATAAAAGTAATGGGGATCACTAGACACAACAAGGCTCCAGCTATTGCCTGTGCCCCGTGTAATCCATCATGTATTTTGGTAAGGGAATTAAAAGCTGTAAGCTGAAGTGCCTTTGCCTGTCACTACCAGCTTACAGATCTAGTAATTTTTTGCTTTTTTCTTTAATTCCCAAATAGCAGCTTCTGGGCCCTTGGTCCCCTGTTTGGAGTAAGCAGAGATCAGAGATGACTAGGAGAAATTAAAAAAAGAGTGATAAGGAGTGAAACCACTGCCTGACAGGTGAGAAAGCAGAGGCACGGCCAAGGGTTGGCCTCGGCATCTGTGGGCGAAGGAGGTGAACCTGGTGGGAGGGGTGCGGGTGATGCCAGCATTCAGGGTCATGGCAATCCAGAAGCAGAGAAGGGATGTATTGCCTCTGTGCAACTCTGTCTGAGGGTGCAGGGGCAGATAAATACAAGGAGGAAAAAGAGCTACATAAGCTAGAAAATGAACTGTCTAAAACCAAAAGTTTGGAGGTCAAAAAGCAGAGGAATATGTGAGGAGTGCCAAAATCAAGCTGGGAGCAAAGCCTTGGCTTTCCCCGAGTGCTGTCAGGGGAGCTGGGGTGGCACAAGGGTTGGTGTCCCCGACCGTACAGCCTGACCCGCAGCACACACTGGGGTGCCTCTGGCTGCCCCAAATGGGGGGGGCTTCTCCCCAGCTGCAGGGGACATGCACCCAAGCCTGGCACAGATGGTGAGGAGTGCCAAAATCAAGCTGGGAGCAAAGCCTTGGCTTTCCCCGAGTGCTGTCAGGGGAGCTGGGGTGGCACAAGGGTTGGTGTCCCCGACCGTACAGCCTGACCCGCAGCACACACTGGGGTGCCTCTGGCTGCCCCAAATGGGGGGGGCTTCTCCCCAGCTGCAGGGGACATGCACCCAAGCCTGGCACAGATGGGGACACAAACAACCCACCCCGGCACCCACAAAGCAGCGTGTCCCTGCAGGGCTGCTAAAATAAATATTTCTTTGAATTTCAAAACAACACTGAAAGCATTAAAATTCCCACTTTTCTCTTATATTTGTATATATTGTGCAGTATCGATCCCTTCACATGAGGTTTGTAGTATACTATTCTTTATTTGCTTTCTGTACTCCACGCTGCTTATTTACAGCCCAGTTATTTTAACTTGTCCTTTTGCGTATCTGCCCCCAGGGACCTGTGCCTTGAACTCCATCAGTCATTACACTGCCCTGCTTCCCCTGGGAGCTGTGCGGAGAGATTAAAGCTTCTGGGATGCTCTGCTACAGCGGGGATAAGGGATACCCAAGGAAGATAACTGGAATTACTGATGACTGCTTGGAAGAAATGACACTGATAGCTGGTAATGCAGTTGCATCTGTAGTTATGCTGTGATAAAGATTTGGGGGCAATTAATAGTGTGTTTATAGCATCAGCTAGCGCTAGCCTTCTGGGGTACCCAGGGAAGTGCCCCAGGTGTGCCTCAACCAGCATGCTGCCCTGTTCCCAGCTCTGCAAAGCTTTGACACACCGCATCCCTGCTGAGTCCGTCTGAAGGAGTTAATCTTCTCCAAAACAAAAAAAATCAGGGGGGCGGGGGGAGATTGCTTAGATTTGCACTTGATGGATCAGACCTGCAGACTCCCGATCCCACTCCATGCCATATTTTAGAAGATGTGATATGTCTGCCTCCATCCTCATCCTTTCCTGAGTCTCTGTAATCCCAAATATAACCCGGCAGGGCCCAGAGCAGCGCACAGTTCCCGGGCAGCTGTGCCCCAGCCCATGGCTGTCGCCCCGTGACCCGGGACTGTCGCCGAATGACGAGTCCAAAGCCGGCGTGCGGGAGGGCAGCCGGGCTCCCCGCCGCTCTGCCGCAGGAGCCAGGAGAGGAGGATGCACGCATGTGAAAAGCAAGGTAAGGAAA